CCACCACACCCAGCCAACACTGGGATCTTGTAGACTGTGCTATTCATTCAGGGTATTCCCAATAAGTACCTTGCTGAACCCTAACAAACTTCTAGATGTGAGCCTCAAGACACAGGGACTGAAGGTGACACTGGCATATGTAGGCAGGCCAGACATGCTGCAAAGCTGGGCACCCACCCCACCTTACCCTCTTTTCGTCAAGAGTATATAACTTACTACTGAGCACTGTTTTGAGAACTCACTGTGCTGAGTTGTTTTTGTACAGTATCCCATTGAAAACTCAGAACAGTCCTATAGTGTAACTACTGTTTCCCCATCTCACAGGTGCTTACCGAGGTTAATTCCATAGCTGTTAAGGGGTACAACACGTCCTCCTGCCTGCAACTCCCTCCCATGGGCCTTTGTCTCAGATCCAGCTACCATTCAGACTCAAGATCCCTGCAGGCTACGCTGGGCGTGGCATTTACTTTGAAGGCTGTCAGACAGGAAATGGCCTGGCTGCAGGGCAGCAGGAAGCAGCCCTCTTCAGGGGAGGAGGGCAGTCCTCGCAGAGCCTCCAGTCATCTATCGGTCATGGGAGTTATTCTCCTTGGTTGCCCAGGTGACAGCTCAGGTACAAAGGAATGAGACACATGAGGGAGAAGGGGGTTGGTTCACTGTGGCTTAGAGGCATCATTCTCCAAAGGAGCTCGTATCTCTTTGAACAACTCAAGAGGCACAGCTTTCCGGGACCCCATAAGCCACATACCCAACTGAGTCATTACACATAGGAAGCCCAACATTATGGCTTTTTAACAAGTGTTTATAGTTCACACAGAAAACTCCAAGTGCAGATAATTTACAATTAGGAATCATGTTTACCATAAGTAGTGCTGCACTGATACAGCTGACATACTTTTATCTGGTTTCCAGACAAAACTAGAAAGGTAACCAGATGTCAGGTTCTGCAGGAAGGGAGAGGATTATTCACACTGCCATAACCTCTGGGGTCAAAACTAAATGTTTAAGAAGGAAAAAAAAAAAAAAACCCTCAACTTTGGAAATTGTTTCAAAAGCCAGGCCTTCTAATAGTGACCCAGAATCATTAGCAGCACTCACACTGGCCTCAGACCCAGCGCACACATGCTGCAGTGTTGGAGAGACCGTTCCATGAACCCCAGCAGTCCAGTAGCCCACCAAGTGGAAAGGCACAGGTGACAGAGGTCTCGTGGCACCAGCTTCACATGCTCACCCTCAATGCTCGGACAGGGAGATGATACTGACTTTGCTGAGCTCAGGAGGGAAACACCAAACACTTGGGGAGGTAACAGAGATCTAGGCCCCACCTAAGGCCGAATCCATGGGAGGGCAGGGCATTTTTCTGGAACACTCTGCCCTCCCCAGCCATGGCTCCTCCCTGCCTCCTGGCCGTGGACCGCATTGTCCAGACACTCTTTGTGAGGGTCTTGTGGGACTCCCTAAGATCGATCCCTGAGGTGTAGCACTGGTGGACCAAATGGACACACTGTTCCTGCCCTCACACTGGTGCTATACTCCCTCGTTGGGAAGAGCCTGAAGATGAATCCCTCCTTCTTTACCACCAAAACGAAAAGTGTGGGAAACCTTGAGAAAAGGGTCCCGACACTTCTTCCCTCAGGAGCCCTGAGCTTTTTGCAGCCTCTTTACCTAAGTACCCTGAGTCACTGGACATGGTCTTGCCACCACAGTCCGTCAGGGCAGCGCCACAGCTTCCAGCCTCCAGCCCAGGGGCAGTCACAGCCGAGCATCAGAACTGTGGCTCTGTGCAGTGCCAAAGCGACTGCAGGTGCCCACAGAGGCTGGCAGCCCACAGTACCCAGGGCACAGACACTAGGATGGAGCCACTCAAGTCAGAGATACTCTGCAGCAGCTGGAGCTGGGCCCTGTCAGAAGCCAGGTGGAGATCCTCAGGCTGAAGGCAGCACACCAGGGGAGGGCTTGAGACCAAGGGAGGCTGGAGTGATGTGGGTCCCAGGACCTGGAAAGCTGTTTCTGTAACTCCCCTCCCCAGAGTTCACTCTTCTTGATCATCATTGTTCTCTCCTGCACCTGCCTGGGCTTATTCCTCTTCCCTATGCCTCTGCCCCTTGACTAACCTTCCTGGGCAAACAGCACAGACTGTGACGTGGGAGCTGTGAAGAGGGGATGGCATCCCTGCTGTGGGTTCAGGGATTGTGGCCATGTGGGCCACCCAGTGGACACTGTCCAGATAACATGAAAAGAGGCCATCCACAGCGGCTCAGCTCTCTGCCCCTCATCTTTGGGCCCCACCTCACATTCATAAAGAGGCTTAAATTCTAGGGTTTTTTCCTTCAGTTCAAAATGAGGTTTGTCAGTGAGGTCACAGACGTCCAGCAAGAGGGTTAGCGGGGTTGCTTAGCCCCCAACTCGGAACCCACCACCCCGAGCTGCCTGCAGAGGACCTATACTTTCTAATACTATGACCCAATACTAGAGAGCCAGAGACACCGTAAATAACCGTTATCTTATATTTATGTATTTAAAAGGTGGTTCATAAATGTATTTAGTGCTTACCATGTAAGACAATTTTTACCCCCATCTCCAAAACAAAGTAGAACTGATATTCAGCTCACAGAAGGCTGTTAAAGGCACCAGAGAAATACGTGATGCAGTGGCTTAAAGAGACTGCCAGGAAGAGTGGGGAAAGTTTCTGCACTGAAGTCAATTTGGGAAATGTCATACAGATCAGCCACCCAATAGCAAGGCCTCTAGGTAAGTAGGGAGAACGCCTCTGGTCCTGTTCAGGTGTTTCGTCTGTCAAGGTGTTTCTCCTGGCCAGCTGTGTCTGCACAGTTCAACACGACTTGAGTTGGCCATCTCAAAACAGCTATAGCCTCAGTTGCTGTGAGGGCACCTCATGGATGACAGAGGCAAGAAAGGCTTGAGGGAGAGGGGGTGAGGCAGGGGGAGCTTGGAGCCTTCATTCTCTAACCCTAAGAGCTGTGGACACAGAGCCGAGTCCAACCTGGCTGCTGCCTGGGCAGGCAAGGAGAGGGCACCGAACGCACTCCCCCCAGAGCCTCGCACTGCCACCAGTTGAGGCCTGTGCCCCTCTCTTCCCTGCACACCATAGCCTCTCTTCTTGAGTGCCCTACCCAGACTACTGCCTAGAAAACAAACATTTGGTAACATCTTCAGAAAGGCTGCTTGCAAGGAAGGCAACTTCTCTACGCTGTCAAACAGCTTCCTTAGTTGAAGCATCTAACTCTGGCCCCGTCCTTACTGCCCCCAGTCGGGGCTTCCAGAAGCAGTGTGGGCAAGTGCTGCTGGCCTTCTGCAGAATGATGAGCACTGGTCAGTCCTGTGCTGATAAAGGCTGTGTGTCCCCCATGTCTTGGTTTCTCAAACAGCAGGTAACAACCTCATCTTTCCAAAGAGATAGCTGTGCCTGACCTATTTTTCAGGGCTCTTCTGGACAGCAGCCTGCTTCCAGCACAGAGAAGGGCCTGGCCTCAGGGGGAGCCCTGGAGCCCACCATGTGCCTCCTGCTCCATCTTGGGAGCAGCAGGGCCCTGTCGGCACTCAGTAGAGCCTGGGATTGGTGACTGAAGAGGGAGGTAGAGGCTTTAGGCAGCAGCGCTGAAAGAGGTGGCAACAGATGACCTGCATGGGAACTGGGGCCTGCAGAGACATCACAGAGCGGGGGAAGTGTCTTCAGCTCTCGAATTCTGGAAGCTGTCAGGGGAAGGGAGTCCCACAGCCAAACTGCATGGTGGGTGGGCCACTGGGTCTGCTTCCAGTGTGTGGCGGGGCCCACAGGGAGCTGAGTTTTCCTGTTGGATTTCCCACACCCGGCCTGCCTGTGGCTGACCAAGAAGGCATTGTTGAGCCTCATGAGATCACAAAGGTAGCTGTGCAGGCCCCGCCCACTTCCTATAAGCCTGGTTCTGGCTGTCCCTGTGCCAGGCCTCCAAGTGCCCTGAGAGCTACCGGCCAGGGTCAGGGGGCTATGGGAGCTCAGGGCAGGCACCTCCCATGCTCCCACAGGAGCCACCAGGACATGAAGGTCATAGGCCTCTCCTCTCCTCCTCTTCCTGTTTGACCTGAATGCCGCCAGGCCGACAGCCTCAAGGATTCCATCTGAGAAGATGCAGGCTGGGTGTGTGGGGAGCAGTAGAGGGGCTGGTGTGTGCACATATGTGCACAGCTCAGGACAGAGGCTCCCTGGACTTGGGGTGGGGAGCGCCAGGGCCCCAACTCTAACCCTCGTTCTGCTCCTCTTGACCTCTGCTCTCTGGACCAAAAATGGAGGACTCATTCTAGACTAGGAGTTCTTACGGTCTAGGAGCCCCCTTAAGTTAAATGTTTATATGTAAAGGCCATTTTTCTGAGAGGCCATAGCTTTCATCAGTGTGCCAAAAAGCATGAGATCGTCTGCTCTAAAAGCCTCTGCCCCAGCGCTGCCTAGTTTCAGAGCCCCTGATGGTCTCACATTGGGTTTTGGAGCAGGCAGAGAAGCTTCAGTGGGGCCACCAGCCAGTCCTTAGAGTCCTGGGTTAAGGCCTCTTCTCCAGGAGGCCCTTTTTAAAGGGTTTCTCTGTTGCCTGGAGGCAGGAGTGACCTTCGGTAGGCAGGAAACCCTGAGGGTACCTAGGAGGCCCCTAGCCAGTGGGTTGGGGAAGGAAGACAGGACCCCTGGGGCCACTGAAATCGTGGAGCTCTCAGAGACCTGAGTGCCGGTCCCTTCTGCCACTCTTTGGGCAGATCCCCTGTCTTCCCACAGGCCCTGTGTCTTGCTCAGTCCATCTGACTCCGCTTTCCCATCCTAGGCCTCAGGTGGGTGGCAGGCCCTTTCCTGCTTGCCCTCTGCCCTCCCTCTCTCTGGCCCTACCCAGCCTCTGCCAATCTGTGTGCCTCCCAGGAGCCGGGACACTCCCTGAGTCCTCTGGGAGCCCTTAAGCCACACTGAAAACACAGACCCTGGGAGAAGCAGCCAGCAGTGAGGAATCCTGGAACCCCTTCCCAGGGAGAGCCTTCCCATGACCCCCATGAAGAGATCGGTGCAAACACAGGTGTCAGAGCCCTTCACGGAGTCCTGGGGTGAGGAGTCCCTGCCGGAGCTCCCCACAGAGCAGTCCCTGACCGAGTACTCTGACCTCGAGGAGGCTCCCTCGGCGCACACTCTCTATGTGGGCCATCTGAACCCCCAGTTCTCAGTGCCGGTGCTCGCCTGCCTGCTGCGAGACACCCTGGAGCGGCTGGAGATGCCGGTGGCGCGGGAGCACATCGAGGTGGTGAGGCGGCCGCGGAAGGCCTATGCGCTGGTGCAGGTGACTGTCCGCAGGGACACCCTCGCCTCCCTCCCCTGGCGCCTGCAGACGGCCCTGGAGGAGCACCTAATCCTCAAGGAGCTGGCAGCCCGTGGGAAGGAGCTGCTATTGAGTGAGGCCCAAGGGCCCTTCAGCCACAGAGAGGTAAGTGGGACTTTTCCCAAGCAAGCTCCAAAGCCTCACCCCAAGGGAGAGACTCTGGGTGGGAGTGGCCTGCAGAGTGGGGACGGAGGGGTGTCTCTGGGGAAGCAGGGACAAATCTGCAAACTTGGGGGCTGCTACTCAAATGACCATGGCTTGTCACTGGTACTGCCAGCTTTCTCTGGAAAAGACACTGAGTTTGCCTCAAGCCTGATGCTTGTGTGAAGAAAGGCCACGAGGGGGCCTCCTCCTTGGGTCCTTTTACATTCCAGCCTCTGGGCCTGGGAGACCCTAGAAGACACAGGGGCCCTAATTTTCCCCTTGGCCCAACTCATTTGTTCAATTAACAATCATGAACACCCCCTCTGTGCCAGGAGCTAAGGCAGGGATGAGAGGCCCAGCCAGGCCCCAAGGAGCCCTGCATCTGTGGCCAGAGCCGGACAGCCACCCACAGAGCTGCAAGGTGGCTGCGCTCAGAGCTGTGAGAGGACACAGGAAGGTTTGCCCTGCTCTCTGGGGACAGATTCACAGGGGAAGTGAAATCCAGCCTGGGACTTAGGGCGTTGGACAGGAACTTGTGGGGGAGGACATTCCAGGCCAGGGACACAGAATATGCAGAGGAACCTGGGGGCTTAGAGGGACTGTGGTGTCTGCAGAAGGGCAAACCATTTGATGGCCCTGGAGCTCCCACTAAAGGCTGCAGGGGGTGCTAAGGAAGGAAGTTGGGCCAGAAGGTAGGGTAGGGGCCAGGTCACCAAGACTATCCAAGGCAAGGCTGAACCGCTGGCTTTACTGGGTGGGACATGGGACGTTAGGGTAGGTCACTCCACGAGACAGGTGATTTTGGTTTCTTTTTCTTTTGGTGTGAAAATGATGGTGTTTAAACTGTTGCAGAACTAAAAGGCTCTGTGGCTTACATTTCAACTCAATTTCACATTTGTATGACGTTTATCCTGTTTCTAAGACTGATCAATTCAACTTGAGCTGCAGGGCTGGTAGGGAGGTGCCCTGGTCTCCTCACCCCAGTCCATGCTCATGAAAGGATTGTGAGGAGTAACAATCTGCCTTGAAGTTAGCGTCACTAAGGAGGGTTGACAGGAAAGGGTGAGCCTGGAAGCAGGGAGGTCAGAGAGGGGCTGGCTGGGGAGGCCCAGACTAGGAAGTGGCCCCAAGGCGGCTCACACCGAGCCCTCGAGCCCTCGAGCAGAGCCCAAACCACGAAAGGTGATTCCGGAGGCGCAGAAGGAAGTGGAGATTAGGGTGGACTTGTCAATAGCCCAGAAAGTAGTGAGCAAAGGTTTGAAATCAGGAAGTAGGTGGGTACCTGGGAGTCCCTCTCCATTCAGGGTCCTGCAGCTCTGTCACAGGGTGCTGAGATACCTGCTGGAATGATCTGGCTTTGGGCCTCAGGGGCCTGTCTGCAACCCAAGTAAGAAAAAATGGGCCCACACGTGTCCCAGCACCCAGCCCTGGGAAGCAGAAATCTCTTCTTCCCCACCAGGCATCCCACAGCTCACCTGGGAAGGGCCCAGCTCGGCAGGGAAAGGAGCGCTGACAGGAACCCTCAATCCAGCAGGGTTTCCTGCCTCGGCTGCAGGAGGGTGGGCAGAACCAGGCCCCTCAGCCTGGTGAAGGGCATCAGGATGCCCATGAGAGTCAGGCCGCAGCAGGGGCCGGATGGGGGGTTCTTGCAGTCCTTCTCAAGGTCAGGGCTCCCATTTTCTGGCTTGACCCTTACACTCATACACTCATTCTTGACTCCCACCCTAGGAGGAGGAGGAGGAGGACAGTGGCCTGAGCCCCGGCCCCAACCCAGGCTCTGGCGTCCCGCTGCCCGCCTGGCCTACACACACGCTGCCTGATAGGCCCCAGGCCTGGCAGCTACAGAGCTGCCAAGGCCGGCCCAGTGGCGTGTGCTCCGACAGTGCCATTGTGCACCACGAGATCGTGGGCAAGGACCAGCTCTTCCAGGGTGCCTTCCTGGGCAGCGAGACCCGCAACATGGAGTTCAAGCGGGGCAGCGGCGAGTACCTGAGCCTGGCCTTCAAGCACCACGTGCGGCGCTATGTGTGCGCCTTCCTCAACAGCGAGGGCGGCAGCCTGCTCGTGGGAGTGGAGGACAGCGGCCTGGTGCGGGGCATCCGCTGCAGCCACCGTGACGAGGACCGCGCACGCCTGCTGGTGGACTCCATCCTGCAGGGCTTCAAGCCTCAGGTCTTTCCCGATGCCTACACTCTGACCTTCGTCCCTGTGATCAGCACCTCGGAGACCAGTGTCCCCCTCAAGGTGAGCCTGCAGGACAGGAGGGCCTCCAGGCCTGTCATCTGTCATCACTCAATAAGACGATGGCCTGCGCTCCTGCCAGGCAGTGCTGGGGCAGGGACGGGACTGGGGGCCACAGGAGAAGAGGCTGGTAATGGCCCTTGTGCCAGCCCTGCCGGCCTGCCCTAAGGAATCAGTGAGCAATGCTGAGTGGCCTGGCAGGATGGGGGCTGCCGACTGTGAAGGGTGGCGCCTCCAGAGCTGCTGTTGCCCCTCCCAAGGTGATCCGCCTGACCGTGCACACCCCCAAGGCCCAGAGCCAGCCGCAACTCTACCAGACAGACCAGGGGGAGGTGTTTCTGCGGCGCGACGGGAGCATCCAGGGCCCGTTGTCCGCCAGCGCCATCCAGGAGTGGTGCAGGCAGGTACGGAAGCTGAGGCCAGTGGGTGGGGTGGGGTGAAGCTGACCCCAGGCCCCTTCAGCCACACAGAGCAGCCCAGGGCAAGCCACCATGGTTCCCTGGGCCCTGCATCACCCCGTTTAACCTAAGGGGTTGGATTAAAATCACACCACATTCCGTATTCCACTCGGTAGGCAGCTGGTGGGAAGAGGCCCAGGCCCTCTCTTTTTAAAAATCTATGCAGTGGCTGGGGCTCAGTGGCTCACGCCTGTAATCCCAGCACTTTGGGAGGACGAGGCGAACCGATCACAAGGTCAGGAGTTCGAGACCAGCCTGGCCAATATGATGAACCCTCGTCTGTACTAAAAATATAAAACTTAGCCGGGCATGGTGGCAGGCAACTGTAGTCCCAAATACTCGGGAGGCTGAGTCTGGAGAATTGATCGAATCCCGGGGGCAGAGATTGCAGTGAGCCGAGATTGCACCACTGCACTCCAGCGTGAGCGACAGAGCAAGACACCTCAAAAAAAAAAAAAAAAAAAAAAAAAAAGCTATGGGCCAGGCGTGCTGGCTCACGCCTGTAATTCCAGCACTTTCGGAGGCCAAGGAACGCACTCGATCGTGAGTGGCTGAGACAGCAGG